TTGTCAAACTAACCGGCCTAAACGAGTCCAACTGCATAGGGCTCTTCCCTGGCTTTAGCAACGGTACTACTTTTGATATCTTCCAACTTTCCAGAACTTTTTCTTCTTGCCAACTTTTATTATAGATGTCCAACAGGTGTAATTTTCCTTTTTTGCACAAATTAGCAAGATCAGCGCATGTAATTCCATCTGTTCCTAGTGAACTTGTTCGTTTTACTGACGACAGCACATATTGGAGCTCCTCTGGTGTGAAGCTGTCATCCAGATCTGATGAACTGATCGCAGAGAACTTTGTTACAACCGCCGAAGCTGATTCTGCTGAGGATTTATATTCGCTAGTTTGGGCGGTCTCTCCATTTTTCAGTATAAGATCGCAAAATTCTTCGGCAATCACACGTTCGCTAACTCCTCGAGACAGCGCTAGAGCCTGTAGTGGTCTCGAGTGGACTACTGGCTGTCGGAGGGCGCGTATCATGTTCCACAGTTGAGGCGCCGAGGTAAATGGAGAAAGTGAGGCACACAAATCTTGCCACCTTGTGGTTGAAAGCTTCTGCAGTTGGTTATGCATTGCAGAATGTATTTTCTGTGCAACCTTGAAATCTTCTAAATTACACGACCTGCGATATCTTCTTTCAGATCGGCGTCGTATTGCCTGAAGCCTCTCATACTCAGCGTCAACACCCGAATACCCATCTGGAATGGGTACTGCACGAGTTGCTTTTGTTAGAATTTTTTTTATTTTTGATGCATACGTTTCTGCGTCAGAACAAGGTTCAAGATTTTGTCTGTGTAGTTCTCGAAAGATTGCCCAATTTGTAATTCTTGTTGTGCGGTTATTTCTCGTTTTCTTCAACTTTGGGTGATATATGAATACTGGCAAGTGGTCACTTCTTCTTGTATCAGCGTCTGCAGTCCAGTCTGCTCCAGCCGCTAATTCAGAGGAGCACACAGTGATGTCTAGTACGCTGCAGTAGTTATGCCCCCGTAGAAACGTCGGAGAACCATCATTTAGTATAGTGTAACCATAATCTTCGCATATTTTGACTATAGCAGATCCCCTTACACTACAACGCTCACTACCCCACAATTCATGGTGTGCGTTAAAATCACCACATATAATTATGGGATCATGGTCAGATATACACACTGCAGCCAACTCTGCGTATGAAACGTTTGCTTGAGGGTGCACGTAAACACTAACTACAGTTACAGTAACGTTACCAAACTTTACCTTGCATCTAACATATTCTGGCGCATCTGTTTTTGAAGTAGCCACAAGTGTTGACGGAATATCGCGTCTCACACACAGCATCACTCTGCTTTTTGCAGCAGGACGTTCTGCTTGGTACACCACATAATTGGACAAGCGAAAGTTATTGGATACTCTTGTTTCGGAAATACACAAAATCGGAAACCCGTGCTGAGCGACGAATTTCCGAAAACCTCCACTCTTATTCTGCAAACCATTGCAGTTCCACTGGAATATTGCACTTCTTTTGTACCAGTTTGATAGTCCAGTAGCCATGATTACGACAAAAGAAGATGCTCAACATCTAGCAGCAATTTCACTTCTGGTAAAGAACCTGCTTGTGGCAGGGATCGTAGAATTGCTTTAAGAGCCGCAAATATTATTGGCAAAATGACTTGCTCGTTTCCGGCTGTCTCCACCAAGATCGCATTTCTTGAAGAATTTTTCCTCAGCAAGCTGCTGTGACCCTCCCCTTTGGTATTCAGTGGCTCCTTGGCAGTGTCTGGCCCGGCAGAAAGTTCCATTTCAGCATGTTCCTGGGCCCGGACTTCTTTGCCAACGCGATGTTTTGGTGCTGAGCGCTTCAATACTTCCGAGTAAGAGTCGTGGTGCCATGTTTTGCATTTCTTTGTGCCGCAGGAACACCTTCGACTATATCCGCATTGGGTGCTGGACCTCTTTGTATCTTATGGTACCCTTTTACAATTCTCTCTCTTTGTGCCGCTGATGCCAAACGGTTTCGAAAGCAGCCTGAGAACGACGCCGGATGTGGTCCAGCACAGTTGGCATACTTAGGTTGACGCTTCGAAGTGCATTCTTTGTAATTATGTGCGCCCCCACATACCTTGCATCTCTTGGTTCCCCTGCAAGTCAGCCTTATGCCCATATCTCTGGCAGTTGTAACACCTTACCGCCGGCTCAATGTATTCCTCAACAGTGTGAACCGTAAAGTCGAGAGCAACTCTTTTTGGCAATGGCGTGAGACTAATTGAGCTGCGGATGACTACGCTACACCCAACCAAGATGTTCAAGACAGGTGTGTCAATTATGCTAATTAAGCTAGTAAAGTAAAACATCTGCTTGTGATCAAATGACTGGGACCCAAACAATTTCGATCACTGCCGACCGAAGGCCGGACGATAGTAATCAATAGTCAATCTACAGTAATTCGTTTACTAAATATTCAGTAAGCCATGAGCTAAGCCTGCACATAGTTCAGTGGGCTTAAGCTCTTTAAATAATTCGATCCAAAATCGACGGCCAACGAATACTGATCGACAACCGATCAATATGTCGAAAAATATGTCAGTATGTCGAAAATATCCGAGCTGTAACCTACATTACTGCTTACGGAAAGAGCGCATTCGAGTCCGCAAAAGGTGGGACTGCTTCAGAAGCAAAAAGCTCCGCTGTGATTCAGCGTTACGGCACTTATTTAAATATTCCCACATTTGTTTTCTTGACGTACTCTATATGGTTATCTCAATGGAGACATCTGAAATGTAGCATACCTTACTTTTACTCGTATCTATTTTTCTGTACGAAATTTGGCGTACGGAGGGGTGGTATCCGTTGGTTTATGTAAATTTTGTGCCGCTCCTTCAAGTGTTTCACGCATGCCTTTCAACACACAAATGAGCATTATTCACCAGTAAACTTATGTCTACAGTCCACCACCACATTTCGCCGCTGCATAAGTTCGTTCCTTGTGTCTGCAAGCGCATTTCAGTAACCCATCATAGAAACAAATAGAAATTCGAGCAGATACCACGAATTGTGGGTATCTATTTTCTACCAAGCAGTCCACGAGCACCTGTCTATACAAAATAGAAATTGTTACAAATGGCACTACAAATACACGCTTTAAACAACCATTTCAAATTGCCGTAAATTAGAACTTGTAAGCTTGAAGCGACGCAAGGAGTGTATGATTGTAAATATATGTGAATATATAGAAAAAATAAAGCCATGCATGTGCTGTACTGATGAAACATGATTGCAATTTCTGAGACGCGGCTATTTAAATATTTCCCATGTATGTTCTAAACTGAGTACTACTCATGCGACATGATTGCGATTTCTGAGACGCGGCTATTTAAATATTTACCATGTACGTTCTGAACTGAGTACTACTGATGCGATATGATTGCGATTTCTGAGACGTGCCTATTTAAATATTCCCCATGTATGCGCTGAACTGAGTACTACTGATGCGATATGATTGCGATTTCTGTGACGCGCCTATTTAAATATTCCCCATGTATGCGCTGAACTAAGTACTGCTCATGCGACATGATTGTGATTTCTGAGACACGGCTATTTAAATATTTACCATGTACGTTCTGAACTGAGTACTACTGATGCGATATGATGGCGATTTCTGAGACGCGCCTATTTAAATATTCCCCATGTATGCGCTGAACTGAGTTCTACTCATGCGATATGATTGCGATTTCTGGGACGCGGCTATTTTAATATTTACCATGTACGTTCTGAACTGAGTACTACTGATGCGATATGATTGCGATTTCTGAGACGCGCCTATTTAAATATTCCCCATGTATGCGCTGAACTGAGTACTACTCATGCGATATGATTGCGATTTCTGAGACGCAGCTATTTAAATATTTTCTATGTATGTTCTAAACTGAGTACTACTCATGCGATATGATTGCGATTTCTGAGACGCAGCTATTTAAATATTTTCTATGTATGTTCTTAACTGAGTATTACTCATGCGACGTGATTGCGATTTCTGAGACGCGGCTGTTTATATATTTACTATGTACGTTCTGAACTGAGTACTACTCATGCGACATGATTGCGATTTCTGAGATGCGGCTATTTAAATATTTCACATGTATGTTCTGAACTGAGTACTACTCATGCGACATGATTGCGATTTCAGAGACGCGGCTATTTAAATATTCCCCGTGTATGTGATAAACTGAGTACTACTCATGCGACGTGATTGCGATTTCTGAGACGCGGCTGTTTATATATTCCCCATGTATCTGCTAAACCGAGTACTACTCATGCGACATGATTGCGATTTCAGAGACGCGGCTATTTAAATATTCCTCGTGTATGTGCTAAACTGAGCACTACTCATGCGACATGATTGCAATTTCTGAGACATGGCTATTTAAATATTTCCCATGTATGTTCTGAACTGAGTAATACTCATGCGATATGATTGCGATTTCTGAGACGCGGCTATTTAAATATTTCCCGTATATGTGCTGAACTGAGTACGACTCATGCGAGATGATTGCGATTTTTGAGACGTGGCTTTTTAAATATTCCCAATGTATCTGCTGAACCGAGTACTACTCATGTGACACGATTGCGATTTCAGAAACGCGGCTATTTAAATATTCCCCGTGTATGTGCTAAACTGAGCCCTACTCATGCGACATGATTGCGATTTCTGAGACGTGGCTATTTAAATATTTCCCATGTATGTTCTGAACTGAGTACTACTCATGCGATATGATTGCGATTACAGAGACGCGGCTGTTTAAATATTTCCCGTATATGTGCTGAACTGAGTACTACTCATGCGAGATGATTGCGATTTTTGAGACGTGGCTATTTAAATATTCCCCATGTATCTGCTGAACCGAGTACTACTCATGCGACTTGATTGCGATTTCTGAGGCGTGGCTATTTAAATATTCCCCATGCGTAGTTTAGTCCTTCTTGACTCGCCGAATGTAAAGGTTAAATTTTTTCAACCTGTCTCTTCAAGGCTCGGCGCTTCTCACGATGGAAGCCAGCCAAAACCGTGGATTCCTAAAGACCCAGGATCACTGCGCTGTCCCTGGAAAGATGGTCACATCATGAGCTACGTCGACGGTGGAACTAGACATCACCAGTTTTCAAAGTGCAGTCTTGAGCAAATTCAAAACGTCGTAATGTGAGACACTTTCAGTTCTTCTTTTTGTGCATAATGCATCTTTACGTTTGCCGTCAGTTTTGCAGTCACTTACGAAACGAAACGGCCCTTACTTCTTCCCCAGCACCCATTGCTAGTTTAAGCAAGCCTGTGCGTGCTCAGTCTTTTGGAGCTCTCGAAGCGTGTGTTTGTGTGTGTATATACTAAAGTCATTGACTTTTTTATCGCTGCGATGCCTTAATTACTTAGAAGTGTGGCAGCTTGGGCTAGTTGGTATGGCATGACGATAGTTATAGTTCTCGCGCTATAACTATCGTCATGCCTTAATTACATTTGTACTGTTTTTCCTAAGGCTTCATGCAACGCCTTACGTTTAGCGAGATTCATGTGACAGCGAATTTAATCGCTTTTGTCTTCACAGCAGCACGTAGTATAAGCATTCAATGAATAACTTTCTGGTCAGCTTATTTAATTAATTTGGAGATTTTGCTTGCTACGACGACATTTATGTAATCGCAGCACGTTTACAAAAGAATTATCCTTGCTAGGTTTCGAGCGAAAGATCATACACAACTAACTCAATGAAAGTAATTCACAGTGGTTGTATAATCGCCAGAAACTACTGCACTCACCTGCATGCTTACATATCGATAAAAAATTAACACGTATACATCTACAAACAAAACCATTCTTACGCACATTCTGTATAGCTGCATGTTCACTTTCGTATGGTAAACAAGTAATTTCGTTACAATAAACGTGAGCATGTGTGGCGGCCTCCCAATGATGCCTGGATCACCGACTGGGAACATCCCTTCTCATGCTAAAACCCCTTCACTTTGCATTGTTTAAACCCTGTCTTGTTACGCGAGCAACACCGCGTTTTGGCATCGCAATAACGAGAACGGTTCAGAGCAGGCCCGTAACTAGGGGGGGGGGTTGAAGGGGTTCTGCCCCCCCCCCCGAAATTTTTTTCGGGGGGGGGGGGGTGATACTAAAATATTTACACGCCTTCACAGCGACCACCAGCTGCCAAAGTTACACTGCAACTTTCCTGGCATTGCTTCCCTCTTCTTCCTTTCTCCAAACCTACCCTTTTACCAGAACACCTCAGCGCTCCCTCCCCCGCACGCGCACCTGCCCTATTTGTACAGCTTTGCACTTTGCCCTCGCGTTCCTTCGAGTCTTTTTTTTTTTCGTCTTTCACACCGTAGCAGCTCCTTTATTGATTCCAGATGCTTTCCTTGTGCATTGCCGCTGGAGAAGTTATCCGTCTGTGCGGACCGCACGTGTCAGCTTTGGGTTCCTACGAAAAACGCGTCTACTTCTGTGAAGGTAAACAGTTCGACAGCAACGGCAACACCAACACGACGTGCGGAGGTTTGCCAGAGAACGAAACCCCTCAGCGGAAAAACTCAGCAGCGCATTCCGAGGACGCAGGCTGCAGGGCAAACTTTTCTCAAACTGTAGTCCTGGCCACCGAAACGAATCATCGAAGATGACATCTACTGAAAGACTGGCATATCCGAGCAACTTCGAACAACCTTAACCACACGCAAGGAAATCTACTTCTTCTGTACACAGAAGGTATATGCGCCTCCCTACAAAGCGCACAAAGCGAGGATACAGCCGGCACACAATCTGGCACCAGCGGTCAACTTTCACAGGAGAAAAAAAAATGCCAGCCAAGCTGGGCTGCGCGCGGGAGTACAAAGGCTGACGTCACAGCCTACAAAGTGCATTTTTGGGGGGTCACGGCTATTTAATTAGCGCAGCCCAGAGAGAATTATGCAGGCGCCCAGGGAGCCGTTTGTGAAAAGGTGACTTTTTCACAGGAACGGAGCAACACCTCCTTTCTGGACTGTACCACAGGAGTGCAAATGTCTCGGCAGTGCATTCTTGGGGGTTCACGTATATTAAGGGGAGTATGCAGTGCCCATGGAGCATTCTGTGAAAAGATCTTTAAGTAGCATTAATCCAGTTTGCTGCAGCTGGAGTACAATAATGGGCCTGCATGCACACCAGCTGTAGCGGCGTCCAGAAAACACATGCGCCACGCGGGAGCCGGCGCGTTCATCACACTTCTACATTCTAGCCACTGTAAAGTGGATAAGAGAGGAAGAAAACATCGCCCGCCGTTCACGCCAGGCAGTCGAAGCAGTCGCAAACGTCTTTTTGGAGCCACTGGCCACTTCTGTGTGCGTGCACAGGATTGCGGCAGCAAAATGAAAAGACACTCTGCAACAACGAAGCAAAGGAGTCTTGTGTCTTACTTCAAGAAAGTTCGAACCGATGAAGCTGACGGAGAAGAACTGCCTTCTTCGAAGGATAAAACTTCGCCCTCCTAAGCACTGGTGGAAAGTCAAGCGCGTCCGAACTGCTGTAGCGACTCAGGAGAATGCACCGGTTTATATGAATCACCTGAGAACGAACACAAGCAGGACACCCATGCGCCGCTGGGAAATGATGGTGGCCGCAGTGCAACTCTAAGTGATCTTTGTTCTACAGTCAACGCTGGGCAAAGTGACGCCTTTACTACTGGGCAATGCCCAAGGAAGGTGAGTGGCATGGAACCTACACATTCTGGTTCGCTTCCCCTCTGTGCGACGAGTGCGAATATTTTCGACTTGGGACTGTTTGTCTCGAAAAGCAATAATGTAAATGATCCAGAGACGATGGAAAAGCTGCTGCTCAGTCCGTGGACCCCTCCGGCTAACTATGATTATCCAGCCACAGGGAAAAGGAATCTGAAGTTCCAACCTCACTGGGTAGATCGTTACCCATGGCTTGTTTATTCAGAGAAGCTTCAAGGAGCAATATGCAAATATTGCGTAGTCCTCGCAAGCGAGTGTGCAGGAAAAGGGGAGCACCAGCGCTTGGGCTGTTTTGTAACTAAGGAGTTCACCAATTACAAGAAAGCCATGGACGTCTTTAAGAGCCACGCATCCAGCAGTTATCACGCCATGTCAACAACGCTGTCGGAGAACTTTTTAGCAGTCCGGTCCCGCTCACAGCATGACATCTTAACACAACTTGACCACGGCCTTAAGAAGCAGGCGGAAGAAAACCGCAAGAACTTGTTGCCAGTAATAGAAACAATCCTTTTCTGTGGCAGGCAAGAAGTGCCGCTTCGCGGCACAGACGACTCTGGTCCGATAAATATGTCTGAAGTGCTGCCATTCAAAAATGATGGAAATTTCCGCGCACTGCTTAGGATGAGAGCAAAATGTGGAGATGCCGCCTTGAGAGCTCACATGGAAACATCTCCGGCGAATGCGCCGTACACGAGCCCAAAAATTCAAAATGAGTTGATCACCCTCTGTGGTAAAATCATACAAAGAAAGATAGTGGAAAACGTCAACTCAGGTTTGTGTTTTTCAGTTCTAGCTGACGAGGCCACTGATATATCTCGCACCGCCCACATTTCCCTATGTGTAAGGTACGTTGGACACGACACATCGGGAGTGCTCATTCTTAAAGAAGATTTTGTAGATTTCGTTCCCGTGTACGATCTCACTGCGCTGGCGAGCACAATCCTGAACAGCCTTAGAGGTCATGGCTTTGACCTGAACCTACTTTTCGGGCAAGGATACGACGGCGCGGCATCAATAAGCGGCCGCCTTAACGGTGTTCAAGTCTTCATTCGTCAAACAGCGCCCAAAGCGTTGTATGTGCATTGTAGCGCCCACTCGTTGAACCTTGCTCTGCTTCACGCATGCAAACTCCCCAGCATCCGCAACTGTTTGCGAACTGTATCTTCAACCTGTACGTTTGTGAGACCTTCGCCACAGAGGACGAACCAACTGCGAGACAAAGTAGAAGATTCAACACAAGAAAAAAGAAAATCAGTTCTCTCCTTTTGCCAAACAAGGTGGGTAGAGAGTCACGATGCACTTCAGCGTTTCCTTGAACTGTACGTGCCTATTGTACAATTCCTGGAATATTTGGAAGAAGAGGCCGCGTCATCTGATACTTCATCAAAAGCTTCTCAACTGCTCAATGCCATTACGAAGTCCGAGTTTGTCGTTTCGCTTCAGATCTGTAGCGACCTCTTTCTTCTCTTTGACACTGCCACTTTGCAAGTTTCTTCAAAAAATTGACTGTGACTTGGCTCAAGCGTGCGATCACGTAAAGAATTTTATAGACGTTCTTTATACAAAAAGGGTTAGAGCGGAAACGGAATTTAATAAGATTTTTCTGAAGTCGCTCTCTTTGCTGAAGATCACAAATGTTGAGATGGCCCTACCACGTATCACTGGAAGGCAGATGCAAAGGAGCAACGTACTTTCTGCTACTCCCGAAGAGTACTACCGGAGGAATGTGTATTTGCCTTTGCTGGCTGACTTCGAAAATCAATTAAGAGACCGGTTCGATGCCCATAAGAAGGTCGTGGTTGGCCTTAACATGCTGCTGCCGAAATTCTGCGCATCGGCTAGCCTTTCTGATATTGATGATGCAGTGCAGTTTTACCTTGGCGACATTCCTTCGGCTAATGTCATCGAAGCAGAGTTCACACTGTGGGTGAGCAAATACTGCCAGATCGAAGAAAAAAATCGCCCAGCTTGTGCTTTACAGGCCTTAGAGATGTGCAACCGCGACTTTTTTCCGAACATCCACAGCCTACTTTCTATCCTGGCGACTTTACCCGTGTCGACGTCAACCCTGGAACGGACTTTTTCCACACTGAGAAGGCTGAAGAGCTACCTTCGAAATCATATGAACAACGACAGATTGACCGGACTAGCACTGCTCAGCATCCATCGAGAAATTCAAGTGACCCCAGAACAAGTCCTCACAGAATTTTGCAAGTTGCCGAGAAGAAAAAACTTCCTCGTTTAAACCTCCCTCTATGTTTCAAGAGTCAATTAAAAGCTAAACCTGCAGCTAGTCCAAGCTTCAACCCTTCTATCCTTTCGCAATTACGAGGAAACTATCCAGCAAGCAGAATGTGCGAACGGTAACAAGAAGAACGGAATGTCGGGCGACTTGTTTGTTTGCTTGCATACATGCTGTCACGAACTGCCATTTTTCCGACCCGGCGTAACGGCAAATTAACGGGCGCCGCACTCCCCCACTGACCGGTGGAACCGTTCGCTCATAAAAAGACTGGCCTTTAGTGCAGGGAAGTACGGAATGGGGTGTTCTTCTTCAAACGTTAGTCGCCGATGTTTGATCCTTTGTACCTACGGCGGCGTCGGCAGGGTCGTCAAAGGCCGCGATGCACCCCGAACTAGCTGTAGACTGCAAGACGCACCGGCTGAAACCAAGGAAACTGACCATTCCCACGGGCAAAACTGCTTGTGGACAAGCCGTATGAGAGAACCCCAACAGGTTGTCACCCTCGCTCAGTTGAGGACCCTCTCCTAATTAAAAAGGGATGTGGTCAATATATTTTTAGAGTGGAGTTTCCAACAATGAAACGTGCATGATTGGATTCATGTAGAGGTCTCTTTTCCCTCAGGACGAGAATCAGGGGACACGGAGGTCGATTTAAGAGCAGGATTTCGCCTTGCTAAGCAGTCTAGTTGCTGACGAACATGGTGTAGAAGGAGATCAAGAAGTATCCCTTAAGTGGTTGTGGCTCCGTGTCGGCGGCCCACCTAAACTTAGCCATTCGTCTAGTTGTGACGTGAAATTAACGTCTGTAACGAAGGCATCGGTACTTGAATCTCGAGTAAGCTCAATCTCGAGATCGGCTTCAAACACTATAGCCTCCCGGAAACACCAGCGCTGCAACACCGCCGACATCGCAGTTGTGCCAGAACTCTCTCTGACTTCTCGCATCCGATCGTCGTGGACTCAACGCTGCCGGTCATTACAGGTATCCCTTCACCTGTTTATACCTTCGGACTTTCTCATCTGTAGTTTTATTGTTGGTTAGTTTTGTGTAGTTTGTAATACTTCTCTCTGGTAAGCTTATTTATTGATTTTGTATGTATTTTGTTAGTTGGTATTAAGTGTTGTACTAGATTCCTCTGCAATATTCCTAGATTCCTCTGCAGTGCTGCAATATCACTAGAGTTTTGTTTTTCCCCACATACGTCTCTGATCTCTTCACTGTCTCTGCTTACGTATGGAACGACCTAACCGGCTGCCATTCCCGTCGCCGACTTCGCGCTGGCGACGCTAGAGTGGCAGCTTGTAACACATACATACCGTTTTTGTACCGCGGTCACATTGTGTTACTTCATCAGGAGCCGTTGGTCGCGGTGTCCCCGGCTTTAGTGGTGCTATTGTCCAAACTTATTTCTTGCTTTAACCAGAATTTGAGGTTGACATACCAATTTCTTTATTTGGGTACAAATAATTGAAAAGTACCATCGAATTATTACAAGTAAGCGATGTACTTGTTTTTTATTCACAAAAATAAGCCAGTATAAATCTTAAAAAATGGCAGCCGTTCTACACGCAACCCCCCCCCCCCCGAAAAAAATTCCTGGGTACGGCCCTGGTTCAGAGACCAGTGTTTTCTGCACAAGACGAAAACTTTGGTGCTGATGATGATTATGAGAGATCAGTTCGATTTCGATCATGCATTTTCAGATTGCGAGGAGAGTTCTGCTGGGTAGTGAGCACGACCATTAAAGGGCATACGAAACCGGGAATATTCCCTGGCATGGAAGTGGCACCCAACGAGTTTTGCAAGAGCGTTTTTCCGGAGCAAAAGAATGTGACCGCTGACATGGTGAGTGATGGGCTGCTTTCATCGCAGCCATTAAACAGGCGTGTAAGGAAGTTCTGTTCAACCAATCAATATGCACTGTTAGCACGTGTTTGCACACGTTTGCATATGTGCGTGTATCTGTTTATATATACAAAACTGGAAAACATATTTCTCTATTCATCGTTTCCTTTCTCTCTTTTTCAATCCATCACTTCCTCTTTCTTTTTATTTCTTCATGTCTCTGCTTCTTTCGCTCTTAGTTTTTCTTTCTGTCTTGCTCTGTTTCTCTCTTCTTCGTTTGTTTCGTTAATCGCTTACACTCTCTATCTACATCTTTCTCCTTTTCTTTCTCTCTTTCTTTTCTTCTCTGTCACTACATTTTCTTTTTTATTGTCTTTTCGTTTTTTCTCTCTCTCTCTCTCTATCTCTCTCACGTGTTTCTCGAGCTGCACATCGCCGAGCAGAATTTTCGCTTAACGCTCGCACCAGCTACATTCGCTGGTGGGGCTTGCCTAATCGCTGTGGCGCATCGCCACCTGTGGAGTCTTGGATGGATGGCGGAGCACTCGTAGCGATGCTGTGCAAGCCCATAGCTTGCACAGCATCGCTGTTAAGAATTACATTGCCTCTTGAGAGGTCATTCATTTGTAGCTAAGCCGAAGCTATGGCTTGCAGCCTAACGGAGAGTTTTGTTACGTATTATAAGCATATTCAGCCCGATTCTTGGTTTATTTCTGGCCCATTTATTTACTGCACGTGTTATGTGTCATCACTGGTCAGCCGACATATGCAATGGAAGGCCACTCAATAAACAAGGCTAACGCGTCTTCGCAAGCTTTTTTGTCTAGAAAGACCAGTCATCCACATCAGTCGCGTTTTTTTTTCTGCAAGACAGCAGTGACCGGCATCATATTGATGCCTAACATATTCTTACCACATGCAAGGTCTTCCTGCTGTAATTCAAGCATGAACGGAATCTTGTAGCTAACACGAGGCAACAGCTATGGACGACACCAGATACGCGGCGATGCGCTCGACCTCTCTAAAACAAGTGTTATTGAGACTGCACCAGTAAAAAATGTTGCGTAGGATTCGCGTGGTAAATAAAAAATTGGTAGACGGCTGTTGTTTTTTAACAGGTAGATCAAGATTAAAATTAAATGAAGACCACATTTCCGTCACGAAAGCGTACTGCGAACACCGAAAAACATTTTACGAAAGTTCCAATCATTTCGCAGAACTGCAAGATCAAGGAGAGCAGTTCTGGTAATGCGCGAGTAAACAGAATAGTTAAAACACTTAATAAATAATTACTTCACACGGCGTGAGAGGAAGTAAATGGAAAAAGCCAAGTCAAGTTCTTTTCATACATCCATCTAGGAAATCACATCAGCTGTCGTTCAATTTTAAGGGCGAAGCTCCTTATAGCAGCACCCGTTCGTCCCTCGTAGTCGTAGTAGTAGTCGTAGTGTGTAACCAGTCTTACATTTTGACCTCCAAGGTAAGGCCGGTGAGAGATTTCTTCTGTGCGTTGTTGAACAAAAAAAATTCGCAGCGCGTGCGTTATTAAAAGCCGAATTCTCCTGTCTCTCATTCCCCCTTAGCAGTCTTTGGCATGTACATTGAGCACTATCTGACAAAAAAGGGTTGCTACGTTATACTCGTCGGGCGTAACCTCCTTGGTTTTAGAAAAGTTTAGCGAGCTTTGGGCCGCAGTGCCATGAATACAGTGAACTAGTATATACCATGAACTCAAGGTCGTTAAAGGTGGGAAGTAGACACGAAGCGCTAGCCGTAAGAAAGTGTACGTCTGCCACCTCTCGTTTAGTCCTTGGAATGTCCGCTGGATGGTGGTGCATATGCGGAATATATGATGAAAACATGCGAGATGGTGGTACTTGGAGTGTTGAATAGATGGACGACGGGACACACAGAGAGAAGCATGGACGGACTCACGGATGGCTGCACCGACGGATGGGCGCATGGACGGACACAGGGGTGGATGCATGGACGAACGCAGGGACGGACGCACGAACAGACGCACGCACGGACGGGCGAATGGACGCACGGACGGTCACACAGACGGACGCATAGACGGACGGAAGCAAGAACGAATGGACGGACGAATGCTTCGCCCCACTTTCCATCATTCACTCCGTGGATATGCTGCCATTTTTTTTCCTTCAACACGGGGATGTATCCCATAAACTAACGTTACATCACAATCACATCGTGGGTGTGCTTATACGCAAGATACCATGGAGGTTCATCTTTCTCCTAAAAAAAAAAAGATTGCCCAGTTTCATTGTTTTTGCGTTGCCCCCCTGACCTGCTGCAGCATTCAAAAGCATCCACGGCTAAACACAGAACAGCGAATGCAGCTACCATATCGGCAAATGCACTCTACACGCCGCATACTTTGAATGAAAATCACTAGTTCGATTTTTTTTAATTTACAGTCGCACAATGAAATCACATCCGCTAACTTTCTCTACCCCTACAATTGCACGATACTCACTCTATCACAAATTGCACTCACTTATTTAGCACTTTTTGTGGTCGTAAAATAAATAGCTTCATTTACCTTCCTTGCACGTTTCGATCTGTTTTGGAATGTTTTTTTTTTTTCAACAAACTATTTGGCCTTGATAGGACAAGGTGCAGGGTCACTTGTGGTGCAGCATCATGTTTATGATGGGCTGCGGCATTAGCGCACCCATGATTTCTCTTTAGGTGGTCAAAACTTAAGATAAAACTTAAATACCACACACTGAAAAAATATAGGTTATATTACCTACAATTATTATTATTATTGTTGTTGTTAATATATGAAATGAAGTGACGATGACAATGATCTCAAGGTGTTTTTACCGAAAGACCTTGAAAAACCTTGAGAAGCCCAAGAAACCGTTCGATGAAGCAGGGCACGCAGAAAATAAACGGGAAATCGAATAAAACAAGGCGTAACATAGTTCTCAACAGGGATGTCTGGCAGCCCCGCGGCGGTGGTCTAGTGGCTAAGGTACTCGGCTGCTGACCTGCATGTCGCGGGTTTAAATCCCGGCTGCGGCGGCTGCATTTCCGATGGAGGCGGAAATGTTGTAGGCCCGTGTACTCAGATTTGGGTGCACGTTAAAGAACCCCAGGTGGTCTAAATTTCCGGAGCCCTCCACTACGGCGTCTCTCATAATCATATAGTGGTTTTGGGACGTTAAACCCCACATATCTATCTATCTTGATTCGAAGGAAAGAACAAACCCTTTCCAACTTCGTGACCCGATTCGAAATGGTAAGCATAAATGATTAAAGTAGTGAAGCGCAACTACTTAACATTCGCCGATTGTTGTTTCCCAGGTAAGCAGCTTCAAAAAAGGCGAAGGGCTGCAGCCCCTATTATGACAGAGTAATAACAACCAGAAACTGCACTGACCAGAGTAAAAAGTGAAAAACACACGTGTGTTTTTCACTTTTTACTTACGAGAGGGGGGGGGGCGACAAAACGCCCACATCAAAGTTTTCGCCCGCCCCCTCTCCTTTCCTTGCCAAGGCTGTTGTTCGTGCCGATTTTCTGTGTTTTTTCCCTTTTTACTCTGGTCGTGCAGTGTCTGGTGGTTTTTACTTTACCAATAAGAGCTGCAGTCCTTCACCCCCCCCCCCCCCCCCCGTCCCCCGCTAGCGCCAACACTACACTCCTGCCATCCGGTGGGTGCTCTTGTAAGGTGTTGTTCCTTCTTCGTTAACACCTCATCAACACGTGTACTGGAAGATGTTTTTCAATTAACCTATTGTTTCAATTAACCCACTTTAGTTGCGAAATCTTATACCCTTGTAAACCTATTTCTCTTATGTTCTTTCTTTATTTTTCTTTCTGCAAGCCACTGTTTTGATGATTTCCTTTTTCTGTCTTCTATTTCAGTATTCAGACCGTATGAAGGATTGCATGGTGAAATGCCAATATCCAGAAGTTACCAAGTACTGCTACGGTTACCGCTGCAATTATTATACGGTGATTAAATCCGTGTACGAACATGCACTGGACTACATGTCCTGTGGTGTAGGCAAGGTAAGAGGCTGGAAGGGACCGAGAAGTTGCTACAAACGCATATATATGAGGTTCATATTTTATATAGAAATGCTGTGACTTAGGAGAACAAAATTATGGACAGCAAAGTATAGTGAAATTGAGCACCGCAAGAAAGTCTAATATTCATCTAGTGTCTCATATAACTATAGCGCACACTGCTGTTGTAATGCTCGTGTTATAGCGTTTGTGTAATCTCTATAATTGCCAGTATAAGTGCACGTGCCTGTATTTAAAAAAAAACAACATTGCGAAGCACAATGTTTGAATATTCACCAGCTGTAACATGTAGCAGAAACAAAACAAGTGTGCTTACCTTTATGTCATCTTCTTTTTCATTGAACGTAACGTACCTCTTGAGCCGACATTTCTTGACATAATGTATTGTGAAGCCACAACCGTGCGCAGGCGGTCTCTCTTTGTCGTTATAGTCTTGATAACTTTGCCAGTTATGGTGTTTTATGTGCAGCCATCACAGTAGAGTATCCCATATTTGGAATTCTGCATTGATTTTGACTACCTGTCTCTCTTTAACGTGCAGCTAAATCTAAGCACATCGGTTTTCACCCCCGTCGAAGAACGAATGCAATGGCCACGAGGTGATTACCGCTGTACACTACATTCTGGCCTCAACGATATAGTTCAGCAAACATATGCTGTTTTCGACTAATATTTGAATTTTATTTATTTCCTGTACTAACACTGCAATATCAGACAAACTGTGCCTAAGCATGGGTGCCTATATCATAACCCCCTCCTCCACTTCCCCTTCCAAAAAATGAATAAAAGCACCGCAGAAGTTGGCATGCCTGCCTTTGTGCCACTGAGCATCAGACCAGACAGATGGTCGATAACCCAACGATGGAGCCATCTATATATGTTGAACCTTCCATCAACTAGTATGACGGGTGAACTAAAGATGTTTCGTTTAAGTACATACCTTGGTAGTACTTACAGTTCACCTGCCGACCAGAATGTCGCAGGTTCGATTCCGAGCACGACTGTCGCATTTCAATGGCGAAATGATGGAGTCCCATGTGATAATTAAGCGATGTTAGAGCTGGTTGCACCAGATGGTCGAAATTGTCAGAGCTCACACTGCGTCCCCCGTAATCATATAGTGGTTTTGGCACGTGAAACTCCGGATATCATTACTGTTATCACTGGAAACCATCGATGGATTCACTGGTAGGCTGACTTTTATTTCCATTAGTGGCGTAAAACTATAGGAACTCAAGCGTCGGTATTTTTTTTCTTTTTTTTCATTCAGGTTTGTGTACGAGGCGTGTGCAAGAGCAGCGGTGGCAGTTTGCCGCAAAGCACCAACCACCAGGAGTACAACAACGACGACAAAGAGAACAACACCACCACCACCACTAACAACAACAACAACAACAACAACAACAACCGCTGCTGATAGCACCACTGAATGTCGTTGCGACTGCAGCTCTTCAGGATATCCGGCCCAACCAACAACACCAACGCGGACATATCGCTGGCGCCGTTTGATACGTAGAAATTAAACACAATTTCTCGCTTAATAATGTGAAAACCAGTTTGTTCCTAACGATCTATAGTAGAATAGCACTTAATCAATGCCAAGAACTTCCCTTTGAAATAACATGGAGGAAGTACGACGCCGCCATGACGTTTCCGCTCAGGGCTCGCAACAAGTCGGAAGTCTCCAGACAGAGCCGTTGGTGTGCAGACAGACTCCTCTGCACGGACCTGAGAAGAGGCACGTTAAAATATACATATACTCACTTCTCCTCAGAAGTGTGTTCCCAGTCCATACTCAGTTACCTGAGGTGTCAAAATTCCTCTACATAACGCCCACCCCCCCACCCTACACAAAAAGCACAGAAGCTCATTTCGGTGTTTCTGAAAAAACGGGCATATGAATAAATAAACTAAAACAAGCAAGTCATGTTTTACCTATAAATCACTACAACGAACCGCATACGGAGGTTTACGCAGTGAAAGACACCATGGGAAAAAATGAAAACCGCACAAATTTGAGCCGAAAATACTGTTAGGTACCATCGCACATCACCACAATTACTATAGGTCAAAATGAACTTTTACGTGATAAAACCAAGATATTACTAAGAAGCGCACCGTATATGTGGAGACTCAATGAAGTATCACCTAAATTTCAGCCCAAAGAGCGATTTTTTTGTCGACCCACCTTATGTGGCTGCTTTTGGCTGAAAATCAAACCTGCACCCTCAAGCTTACCAGCGCGAGACATGTCCTAAGTGGTTCACAGGCATGTACGCGGGATCGCGCAAATGCTGGTCTGCAGTAAACGGTAGAACAAGTTTCGGTAGGACGTCGTCCCTAAAAATTTAGGTTTGTTACGTGCGTGCACTGCCGCTGCATTCGCTGGAACCAAGGAGGTTGAAATAAATCTTCACTGCACACGGGTGCAGTCAAACCGTGCCACGTACGCGGCGGCCATCTTGCCACAAGCAAGACACGGGAGCTAAAGCGCGCCCGTCGACTCTATTTTTTGTGGTGGTTTTTACCAGTTATGACGTAATGCCCACGATTAGTTATGCTTTCAAAAAAATTGTGAAAAAGCACTGCATGTGTTTTCACTCCTCTTGTACAGTTCACTTAAAGAAAAATATGAGGTTTGTTTTAGCATAAGCTAATTAGTAATAATTGGAAATAATTACTGCGGTATAATATACAAGTCACTGTACCTGCTTTCTAACATGTGAGATCTGCAATAGCTACTTTTTGTGACATCTGCACTAGCTTCATTGACATATCATATTCAATGCACCAAAATATTGATTGATATGTGGGGTTTAACGTCCCAAAACCACCATATGATTATGAGAGACGCCGTAGTGGAGGGCTCCGGAAATTTCGACCACCTGGGGTTCTTTAACATGCACCCAAATCTGAGCACACGGGCCTACAACATTTCCGCCTCCATCGGAAATGCAGCCGCCGCAGCCGGGATTTGAACCCGCGACCTGCGGGTCAGCATCCGAGTACCTTAGCCACTAGACCACCGCGGCGGGGCTCAATGCACCAAATACGAGACAGTGGATATTACAGGATTAAGGGGTAAGTTGACAAGAATAAGAACACAAAGATCAGATATGAAAACAATAGACTTTACTGTTTCTTTTGGCGTTTTCATTGCAAGCACACACCAACAAAAGGTATGTAACGCTGGTTTATAAAGAGACAAAATAACAATTTACGCCAGAGTTAAAGCTCAAATTGTATGACAACGATAAAACGACAATATTATCAACAGCGGCGCTCTACTTACCAAGAAATTAAGGTAAATGCACGAGAACGCATGCGCTACGCGTAGCACATTTGCAAAATGATTCCGATGATGTGAGAGGTACCACCTACCATTATCAAACTAGCCGCACTGAAAAACCTTCAATGCATCAAGAGACGTAAGGAAATGCCGCTTGTTCGTTTCTGTTTGATTCAAGGGAAAAAAAAAAACTGCAACACGTTATATGGGGGTCACCGAGGTGAATGGACGCTCTTCACGTCAGCTTCGTTCTCATAGAATGATTTCGCAGCGAATACAGCCAGGCACCGCTCGGATTTATATACCATCTGATTCTTCTCGTCACCGAGAATCCGAAGAGACTATATTCTAAGGTGGGTGATTATTTTTCGAGATTTTATGACCGAAAACCAGCCCCCACCAAGCAGCGTCTACTATTCCTACGACCGGCGCTCCGCGTCGACTGGGGCGGCCTCACGATAGCCAGGCCTCGGCGTTCGCGCCATACAGGCCGTTATCATCAATAAGGGAGGTATCGCAGCAGAATGAAGACGCCACTTAACGGGAAGACGAAGACGTCACCCAACAGGAAGATGACACAGGCAACGGGTGGACAGAAGTTCGAAACAGAAAACGTGCGAAGAAAGGTAGCCAGGAACGCCGTGGTAGCCCTAGCCCTACCCGAACGCCTAGAACGCGCGGTGCAAATTTGATATACCGGATAACCAGAGCCAGCAAAATGCCAAGACTGCCGACAGGCGACTTCAAGATAGTTATAAGGCCAAGAGGAGGACTGCAGCTATCCAAGCTCAGCTAAACGTAGCTAGACAAAGCTGTGTATGAAGCAGCCGAGATCCCTTATGAAGAAAGAGAAACGGACACGATTTGTCCGAATAATTTTCAGAACATCTTGGTCATTAGCATCCCAAACCAAGACCATGCAGACAAGTACCAAGGCATCAAGCACATCAAAGCCAACGACAAGTTGTATGAGGTGGGAGCATACGAGACAGCCCCGGAACTCACTGCCAAAGGTGTAATCAAAGGAGTTCCTTTGAACGAAACCACACGGGACATCACCGCAGCTATTATTACAGCCCGAAATCCTACGGCGATCGCAGCCGAACGTCTTGGCAACACCACGACAGTGATAGTCCTTTTTGACGGCAGCAGAGTCCCGACGCACGTTATGTACAGAGGAGTGCTCGCACGCTGTTCACTATACAGGAAACAAGTTGACTTTTGCAAACAATGCAACAGACTTGGGCACAGGAGTGACGTGTGTTGGAGGCCAAACGACAAGCTATGTGCGGGTTGTGGAACGCCTGATCCGAGCGAGGACCACCACTGTCAGCCACGATGTCAGCTGTGCGGCAAGGATCATCCCGCGGCTGACAAAGTCTGCAAGGCCAAGTTCAAGACACCCTACATCGTAAAACAACGCCAGTGGTTTCGACAACTTCAAGAGACGCTCGAGGAGAACTACCCCCCTACCACCAAGCCAACCGAACGCGGGAGGTCCAAATTCCGGACGAGGGCAACGCCTGGGTCCAGATCAAGGTCCTGGTCCTGCGCAACGCCCCGCGGCCACATCACCCAATCTCCGGGACCGAGAAGGCGCATTACATCCCATTCCAGATCCCGGTCTAAGCCAAAGGGTGGCAATGGCCATCAAGGGAACCCGGCATTCACGATGAGCTGGTCAGACGTGGCTAAAGGGACGCGCCCTGAGCCTTCGGGGGAGACTGCGCATAATGTCAGTAATATAGCGGAGCTGAAAAAAGAAAACGCTGAGCTTAAAGAATTGATATCAAAACTTACTCGGGAAATTCAAAGTCTTAAAAACAGCACAAATAGAACTTCTAGTCAAATGCGTTCCGCGGCTCAAGAGCGCCTCGAAGAAATGCCAGATAACCGAATGGACGAGGACAGTACCCCGCCACCTCTTAAAAGGAAAGCTCAGGTGTCTAATGACAAAACTACGACGCAAACCTCGAACATTAATCAAACATTGTCCGAAATACAGAAAAGAGTTAAGGAACAGGCAGAGGCAACCAACAAACTCTCGCTTGCAATATCCATGATCATGAATAGACTAGATAAACTCGAAGCTAACGTAGCCAATCTCAACCCTAGGACACCTCCGGTACTTCCAGCTACCAACCTTCCGATAAGCACTGAAGGAAATTCACACTTATCTCAGGGCACCACATCAGTGGCTATATCAACTAATTTCATGAGGCCTGCCTCCTTTCACCCTCCTTCCTCTTCGATAGCCAACTCAAAATAGGGAAGCCCAGAAAAGGGACTTAATTATTCGGCAGTGGAATTGCAGGAGCTATCAGGGGAAGAGAGCAGTCTTGCAACAACACCTTAGAGACAGAACCAAACCGGATGATCTAATTTTGCAGGAATCCCATGCTTTAGCTAAGCTACCGGGGTATCAGGCGATCGGCCCCTCAACAGGGGATATTATAACACTAACCACTCTAGTAAGGAAGGGACTCGTAGCAATCTGCCACGACACCCGCATCACAGAAATTGAACATATACTCGTACAACTTGCCCCTAAACGAAAAAAATCTCCGAGCATATTTATTCTGAATTTGTACAGCAATCCCACACGCATACGACAACGCTTCCTTCTTCTCTTTAAGAAGGCCGTAGATATAGCGGGACCCAATTCACTCGTCATAGGTGGAGACTTTAATGCTCCACACAGTGCTTGGGGATACGAATACACAAGAGCCAACGGAAAAACGCCATGGCAGGATATTCAAGAAACAGGCTTAACTCTCATCACTGTCCCCGACTCCCCTACGCGTATGGGAACTGGGCTTGCAAAAGACACCACTCCGGGCTTGACGTTAGTTCGTAACGCGGGGACCGCTAAATGGAAAAACACATTCGATGATCTGGGAAGTGATCATCGAATATTAGAAATCAGGATAGAAACCATGGCCGCCGCAAAAATTCAGAGACAGATTAGATGGACTGACTGGGATAAGTTTCGGAAAGTCAGAAACGCGAAAAAACAAAAACCCTATCAATAGAATATTGGATCAAAGATGTCAATAACGACGTCAGCGAGGCAACGCGAAGTATCCCTTCAAGTCCACCCCTAGAGCAGATTGATAGCCGTCTCGCACACATGTGGGAGGCCAAGCAATCACTGCAGAATAGATGGCGGGGACAGAGGCACAACAGGCCCTGGCGCAAGCGCATAGCCAAGCTGAAAAAACAGATCGAACAACATTGTAAGCAGCTAAGCAAACAGCAAT